TGTCCTCTTTTCTGGCTTCATAGGATTGTATATAAGAAGATATAATTTGATGCACACTGACACAACTAAATGAATGAAAAGTTATACCCTCAATATGGAGGCCACTATTTACAAATTAAATGATTAAATGAGATTTATACAAAAACTCATCTTCACACCATTACTTAAAATCCATGGACTCATAGTTTTTTGTTAGAATCATAAGACTGCTTTCTATTCATCATGAGAATGAAAATGTAAAGCAGATATTTAAAACTATGAAGAAGGATGCAGAGTTAGGACAGACTATGGAGAAAGTAACTCCCTGTGATCCTTCTTGCCTCCTTACTAATGCCCTCTGCAAACTCAGAGGTCTCTCATGTCTGCACACCAATAACTCAACCATTCAGCAAACATACCACCCCAGGCCCAGCCAGGTTCAAACACCTGGCTTTGAATTTCTCTGTGCTTGGTCCGTGATTCTGGCCTAGCACTTGACTGACTGTTATCATTTAGCAGGACTCTGGACTAATCCCATGCATTTACGGAATTGCTGGGCTTTTTAGAGGGCTAGAGTAATGGCATCCATCCTAACCACTCAGCAACCACAACCAGGCCGATACTGTGTGAATTTTTTTGCTTGAGCTGGTGCAAAGGCAACTGGTAGCTATGAACATCTGGAAGCTTACCAGTAAGTTGATAAGTTGTTGGAGCCACATGTCAGGGTAAGGAGGAAATGGAGATGGCATGTAGTCCCCAGAATTTCACCCCTAGGTAGGCACAACAGTCTATCTTGACCTGCAGAGTCTAGTCCTGCCTCCCTGTTTCTTTCCTGTTGGCCCAGAGAACATTGAGGGTTTTAGCTCACCAGGCTATACCCAGAGAAAAAGAAAACTCCCTGTAGGTGAAACCTCAAAGAGGACTGTAGCCCAGGAGAGTCATTCAACCCCTTGTAAATGAGAAGAACCAATCCTCTGAGCAAAACACCCCTTAAGCCTTCTTTGCTTCCTCTGGCAGAATACGCTCTTGTCTTCAAAGATCAAGAGCTTTATGGGAATAATCTCACAGTGTGTGACAACCACTGTCTCTTCCAGTGAACTTTACTCTCTTAAGCTTACACTTGTTTCCTTCTACAAATTGACAAATGTCTGAAAATTTAATTTTCATCTAGCATTTACAAAGATGGTAGATTTTCTTTAAGAAAGTGGATATGCATTTTATTTATTTATTTATTTAAATTCAATTAGTGTATCAGTTTTTTATATTATCATATAAATCATCAGTTTTTATGCTCAATGATTCTTTGGTTACCCAGTGCTTATCAATTCCCTTGCCCTCCTCAATGCCTATTGCCAAGTTATCCCATCCCCCCACCTATCTCTTTTGCTGCAACAAACTGAGGGTTGCAGAAATATGGTAGGTTTCAACTGCACTCAGGCTTCACTTTGGAATTTTATAAGCATAGAGATTTCTAGGCCTACTCCAGATTCACTGAATCTCTTTCCTTGATATCCATGGTATAAGGATAAGTTATTTCCCATGATTACTATGCTATATGTCAGTATTGTTTTCACTATAAAAATTATAGTTATTGATTTGTATACAATAGATAGAACATTCACTTTCCTTATGTATAGGATATATCACCATCCTTAAAGATTTTTTTTAAACTTTTTTTGGTAATTGTTTTATTATCTTGTTTTACATGTTATGGAAAACAACCAAATTTACTTGTCAGTTGCATTATATGTGTTATGAACTTTCATTAGAATTTTATATTTGAATAGTGTAAGTAAAATTAACAATGGCCATTTCAAGATTAATGTAACACTTTTACTTTAGCTTCAAGATCTTAAAACGATAGATGCTTTGTTAAGTCCCCCCCAAAATGGGTCTGTGATTAAAGGAGCAAGACTGATGTAAAGCGAAGGTTAAACAAAGCTTTATTCCATGCCAAGCATCAAGAATCAGACAGAACATTCGAGGACGCACCTCTTATAAGAGAGGGTGACCTTTCTTTGTTTCACAGACTAGCTTTTAAGGGCAAAGGCCATGCGGTTGGGCCTGGCCATGCACAGATGGCCAATGAAACTGTAATACATAAAGAAAGCTGCACAGTCATGCTAGGTGACCAATTGAATTACAATTTACCCTAGTAGACATTTGAACCAGCCTATCACCTTGGTCAGAATTGGTGCCCAAAAGGTGCCCCAAGGGGTGGGGCCCATACTCCTTGGTAACTAGGGAGACAGTACGCATCCCCCCACTGATCTGATGTCTCCACTTGGCCTGACCCACCCTTGTATTTGAGCTTTGTTACCTGGGGCTGGTTTCCGGGACTTGTTTGTTAGTAAGTCCCCTGGGGGAAGGGGAGCAGGGACAGTTTAAGGGTTAAACAATAAGGTTGTTGTTTAGCCTTAATGGAAGTCTCTTGTTAAATATGTCCTTACAGTTTTTTGTTTGATGCATTCATGAAAGCTGTGCAATTAGCAACAGGCCAGAATTTTGTCTTTAGTAGAAAAGGACCCAGCCAGAGCTTGTGCTTGTGGAAAAGGCCGGCACCAAGTACTTCAAACTTCAAAGAATAGACGATTAGGTAACTTCCAGATGATTCCAGTGGGTTGAGTGGTGATTTCCAGGACTGTTTTCAGTCAATAGATGATATCTTCATGAGACAGTTAGCCCAAGATCCAAAGAAACAAAAATTAAATGCATATGACTGAATGAACTAATGGTTAACATCCTAGTATGTTTGTTTGGAATATTGTTGATGTTATCTTATGTTCTATTTTCTGAATAAAGAGGATTTTTCTTTAAGATATTTCCAATCAATCTAATCCAGTAGATTCTGCTTTTGTAAAATGAAACATTTTGATGTTGTAGCTGATTGTCATTGAATACTCAGAGTTCAGCAATTCCCATTTAGTGTGTTTCTTTTTTTTTTAAAATATTTTATTTATTCATTTCACAGAGAGAGAGAGAGAGAGAGAGAGAAAGAGCACTAGCAAGGGGAATGACAGGCAGAGGAAAAGGGAGAAGCAGGCTGCCTGCCGAGCAGGGAGCTGGATGTGGGGCTGGGTCCCAGGATCCTGAGATCATGACCTGAGCCAAAGGCAGACACTCAATAGACTGAGCCACCCAGGCACCCTAAATGTGTTTTTTTTCATGACAATTTGTACTTGCTTAGGTCCGAAAGAACCTGTCTTCTCTTTACCTAGGATATACTTTGAAGAATTGGTTGCAACCAAGGCCTTTCCTAGAATGTCAAACTTGAAAATGTTGCTCATTTAATCAGGTATGACTAGTGACTTTTAGGGAACTATAATTGAATGTATAAAATACGTGCTGACAATTTACCTGTGAGGTAAATTAGCCTGTTTCTTAACATATAGGCATAGCTCTTAAAGCTGGCAAGGGAGGTCACATCCATGGCAGACCAGGATCCTGGCATGTTTTGGGGAGTCTGAGAAAAGAATATATTGCCCAAATGTATATATACCTGATGCAATAATTTGATGAAGACGATTTCTTAGTTGTAACTCCCTATCCTGGATATAGCATGTGGTAGCAGCTTTTGAATATCCAATCTGATTCTGTATAGAAATCTCCAGCACTGAAAACTTCAGAAGGCTCATTTGGTATATTACCATTCTTTTTGCATCTGTGTAAATAATGAGGTAAAATTGAGTGAAAACCTTATTTTGTGATCAAGAATAATCTTTCTTTGAAATTGTACTTTATTTAAAATGGGGGAGACTGTAGGGGAAAATCTGTGTTTCAGTGGAAAACTACATTGTTTAGAACACATTCTTATGGGTTATTTGATTCTGAGTATTGGGACTTGGAGTTTTCAATCCCTTTGAGCTATTTTCCAACTCTGAAAGTTTTAGATACTAATAGCAACCCAAGTATTTCATGTAAGTAGACCTGTAAATAAATTCTATCTGATAGATGGTCAATAGGCATGTGTCCCACGAAGTAGAAGAGACTGCACTCATTTGCAAATTAATGTCAATATTCCTGTCTATAAAGGTATCTTTTATACGGGGTCTCCTTTGAACTGGCTGTATCATTTGCCTGGTTCTTTCATTAAAAGTGAGTTTAATTTGGGGCCCCTGGATGGCTCAGTTGGTTAAGTATCCAACTCTTGATCTCAGTTCAGGTAATGACCTCAGGGTTATGAGTTCAAGCCCCACTCTGAGCTCCATGCTGGGCGTCGAGACTACAAAAAATGATGAATTAAATAGATCTCTAATGGCTGTTCATTTTATGTCTTTGAGAGAGCTGTAATTTTACCTTTTTTGAAAATTAGTCTTAATCAGGGTTTACATTCTTGCATGGGAGAAAGACAAATCATATACAGTATAATGAGTTAATGGCATTAGGTAGAACTCCCATAGAAACCTGGAAGACAGGAAACTTTCTATCCTGCATAACATAGACAGTGATATTTTAATGCTCAAGAAGGAAATATTGAAATAAATGAAATGGGCAAATGACTTAAATTCTCTTATGTTTTTGTAAACTCTGCATAGGTGTATATTTGTTTGTTTTATTGGTCTCATACATGTACATATTCCTGCCCATTTCAATTTTCATTCCTGAGAGCATAAGCATATTTCATAAAAGTGAAAACTATGAGTTAAAGAGGGCTACTTTAAATGAAGAGGAAATCCTCTATCATTTCTGATCAATATCCATGTAAATGTACACTGTTAATTCTCAAGTAAATGTATAGAATAACTTTAAGTACGATAATGGTAAGCATATATTATGCTCATAAGGCTGGTTAAAGCAAGCTGGGTGAAAATGGAACATTAGAATACATTTTATGTTTATTTATGAGCCCTAATCCGAAATCCTAAACCAATATATTTGTAAGACTGATTCTTCAATCTTAGTAAGCGTGTTGAAAGATGATATTGTAAAGCAATTAATATATGGTGTGATTCCTTACTGATTTGTTCTGCTTATTCTGTGTCATGTACTTATTGAGTTTTCAATGTGGTCTAGAATCCCTGTCAGCTATGTTTCTGACACAGCTTCCCTAAAACTGTATTTCTTATCTGCTGGCTTTTCACACCATATACAATGGGGTTCATCAATGGTGGTACCAATAGGAAAACAACAGCCATGAGGATCTTAATGATTGGGGGCCTATGTTTGGCAAAGCGGTAGATAACAGCTAGGGAGATAATGGGAACATAGAAAATTAGCACAGCACAGATGGGGGAAACACAGATATAGAGGACCTTGAGCCTTTGCTTCTGTAATGCTATGCTCAATACAGCTTTCAGTATCATCATGTAGGATATGAAAATAAATGTTAAGTCTAGGATGCCTGTGACAGCCACAAATAAGCCATAGATGACATAGATCTTGTTGTCAGAGCAGGCCAGCTTCATGACATCCTGATGGAGGCAGTAGGAATGGGAAAGGAAGTTCTTACAGTATCTTAGATGTTTTAGAGTGAAAGGGTAAGGGAGGATCAACAAAACATTTTTCAAAGAAAAAGCAAGTCCAATTTTGGTGACTCTGGCACTGGTCAGGATTGAGGTGTATCTCTGAGGGGGGCGATGGCAATAAAGCGATCAAGGGACATGATGAGAAGAATTGCTGACTCCATAGCTGAGAATTTATGAACGAAAACCTCCTGGGCAAAGCAGGCATCGGGGGAAATTCCTGGAGCATTGAACAAGAATATCCTTATCATGGTAGGGAGAGTAGAGAGGGACAGTCCTAGGTCAGAGAGAGCCAATATGGAAAGAAAGTAGTACATGGGTTCATGCAAAGATGGCTCTGATTTTATGAAAATCAGAATGGTACAGTTCCCCAGGATGGCAATGAGGTACATGAAGCAAATAGGGATGGAGACCCAAATGTTGGCACGTGCCATCCCTGGGATCCCAATCAAGTAGAAGGTAGAGATTTCAATTTCAGAGGTGTTGAAGGTGGACATGCCTGGTAGATGAGGGAATCAAGATGAAAGGCTTGGGAGAGGCTCAGACGCCTGACTCTATCCAGTTGCAGTCATAGAGATCTTTATGAATCCAAGTGATATGCACATAATTCTTAATTATAAGCCTAAATGGAGAAAGATAGGGAAAGAAGTCATCAATATCCAACTGAAAACAAAAACTGAGAGAAAAGGAAAACAAATTCATATCAAAATGGAATCTTATAACAGATACAAGTTATAATAGGTATAAGTTCTATAAAAGGGCTGATTTGTCAATTAAGATAATTATACATGTGAGAACTTTTCCAATTTGAGAACTTGATACTTTCACTTTTTAATGTAAATATTTTAATGTAAATATTATAACTTACATACTGTTAAAATTTCAATTAATTTACATAAAATTCAGAGACAATAGAGGAATACTGCAGATTTTTGTTATAGAAGCCCATACGATCCTGTCTGTGCCGGCCATTCTCTTTTTGTATCCTCCTTTCCTACCATGATCCCTGAGTGCCTCATCATCTTCTTTTGCCCCCTTAACCATGTATGCACTTCTGTAAAGAAATCCTTCAGTAGACACTCCTCAACTGACTTCCTCGTGTGCATCTATATCTTGCTGGCACATGTTCTCTCATTCCCTTTTCTTAGGATCTTCTTCTCTTGTCTTTAGGCTCTTCTTATTATCACTGATGTTCTGCAGTGCCGCATGCAATACACAGGTGGAGATCATAATGAACTTACTCTGCTTGTAACATTTTAAATCTGAAAAGTTATGTATTTTTTTAAAATTTTGAATATCTTCTGCCATTATAATTTTCGACATTGCCTATTAACCAATTTATCTAGCTAGAACATGTTGAACCTTCTCAATTTAACTTCCTAGTTAGATTACTTCATAACTTCAAACTCTTCATTTATTTTTGTTGCTTTTTTGTTGTTGTTGTTGTTGAATTTTGATGCATTCTTCAGTAGTACTCTTATTTACTAATTCTGTTTTCATTTGTGGCTGGTCTGAAATGTATTCTACTACTGAGTTTTATTTCATTACTCTATTTTTCCTTTCCAATTTATATTTTTATTTTCAATTTATATCTACCTATGCCCTCATAATTTTTCATTAATTTTATTGTTATTATGCTGCCTTCAAGTTTTGAGGATCTTAAGCATGCTTGCTTCAAAACTCCTTTTAAATTGTTTTAATTTTTCTTTTTTCATCAGTGAGTATTGAAATTGTAGTTTCTTTATCAGTGTTAGTCTTCATATATGTTTTAGAATTTTACTTGTAATCTCAACTTGAGTGAAAATTTCCTTGTTCATTTGATGATTTATTTTGTTTATGCCCCATGATTAGATGTAGTGGTTGACCCTTCCTTCCTTGTTTGTCAAATGTTCTTTTTATAATGGTAAAAGGATATTGCTCCAAATGAGAGCTGAGTACAGTTTTGCCCTTCCCATTCCCACCCACCAACACTCACCAACTATCTCAAGACTTGGCTTGTTATGGGGAGTAGACTTGGGTTGTGACAACACCTATTTCCACTCCCCATATGGATTAACAGCTTCATGTACCAAGCAGGGTAACTTATATTGGTCCCTTGTCAAATACAGAGCGCTATCATGCTGAGTCCCATGCAGGTGCTGAGCTGCCAATCACCCATATGCTTCTAGACCAGCAGCCACATAGGTCTGTGGATTCAACTTCAACACAATTATATGTTTTTACAGGGCATCTCATTATCTATCTATCCTCATCATCTAAGTATCTGTTATCTATCTATCATGTATTTTCTATCTATTTGTCTATCTAAGGAGCATGACAACCATCTTTTTATTATATTTATATTTTATTTATTATTACTGCATGTTTGGCATAAAGTACAAATTGACATACCTGATACAGCTTACCACATGTTGAAAAAAATTCTCCATCAAAACTTCAATACAGCTTAAAAAATATAACCTATTAGATCTTATGTTCAGGAAAAGTTGATTTTTTTTTAGAATAGTTTGATCATGTGCTTTTTGGAAATAATGAGCTAATCTAATTTATTTAATAACACACTAGAGCTAATTGCAGGCTTCTTCATCAATCTTTGTCCTGAGGAATTTCAAAATGTCTCTCAGATCTGAACTATTTAGGCCATTTCTTAGTACTTACATTCTTTGTTTTTTTTTTTTTTTTTTTAAGATTTTATTTATTTATTTGACAGAGGGAGATCACAAATAAGCAGAGAGGCAGGCAGAGAGAGAGAGAAGAGGAAGCAGGCTCCTCACTGAGCAGAGAGCCCGATGTGGGGCTCGATCCCGGGACCCTGAGATCATGACCTGAGCCGAAGGCAGAGGCTTTAACCCACTGAGCCACCCAGGCACCCCAGTACTTCCATTCTTATCTTTATGTACATCTTCAACCATTTTGTCATTATTGTGTCATGATGTAAAACTCAAAAACTCATGTTTTCTTTTTTTTTTCTTAACTATTTCTTTTCTGCAATTTGTCTATTCTACGATCTCAAACATCAATCACTGTAATCCACCCTCAGTTCTTTCTGGGTTGTTTTGCTTCTTAAACTTTCATTGCCTTCTGGATGGATTTTCTGGACTGAACCCCACCTCCAATTTCTTATATGTACTTTCCTCTGCCCAAACTACTTCCATCTTTGGGTTGACTGTAAACATTTTAGTGACATTTATTCCCCTCAAAAATGAGATGTTTAGAAGATAGACAATTAGAGAAATGCATACGAAGTTTTGGATTATATAATAAATGATATTATATTTCTCCCAAATTTCGTAGGTTGTTGAAAACTTGGAATTGTTTTTTGACATATAGTTCTCTTAATGTAATAAAAAATTATTTATTGATAAATTAAGAAAAAGGAAGTAATAACTTTTTCAATGAGCACATTATTTATTCTTCACTATCAACCTCTACTTCTCCAAAACTTATATATATGTGTGTGTGTGTGTGTGTATATCTATATCTATATAGATACATATATCTATATAGATATATCTTTAGAAAATGCTATACTGGGGCTCTTGGGTGTTTCAGTGGGTTAAGCATCTGCCTTCAGCTCAGGTCATGATCCCAGGGGTCCTGGGACCCAGCTGTACACTGGGCTCCCTGCTTAGTGGGGAGCTTGCTTCTCCCTCTTCCACTGCCCTGCTTGTGTGCGTGCTCTCTCCTTCTGTCAAATAAATAAATAAAATCTTAAAAAAAAATTCAATGAGATGATATATTTAAAAACAATACATACCTCTCTGGAAGGGCCATTTTATTTGCCTTAAAGTGTAGCATTTTTAGAGAGTCTGCAGGAAAATAAAACACTGTGCAGGAACATTTCCAGTATGTTATTTCCATCTCAGAAGGGCCTACCCAACCCAATTCTGTGCTTTGCAAAAATGTAAAAAATACAGTTTAAGGAACAGACACAGATGTCCTTAAAGGATGAAGTTTAAATAAAGTTTACTATTTGTATGGAAGTTGTTAAATAAGGTTGTTTGTCATGTTATTTAAGTTAAAGGTAGAGCGATGTTTAATGTAGTCAGGATGGTGTCCTTGGAACAGCTTCAGATGCTAAGCATATTCTAAAACTGAAGCAGGCATTAAACAGAAAAATCATGATAGCTTGCCAGGGGAAAATGGTACGTATCTTAATGTTATTGATTGATAAGATCATGAGGGTTTTTAGGTACTTACCAAGGTGTTGGCCACTGCATTTATACTTCAAGGTTAAAAAGGAAATGAATGCAGGATGAAGCCACCCCAATCCTGGTTGTTAGGCACAAGGTTATTCAGGACAGTCTGATTCCAGTCCTTCTACCAGGCTTCTCTTTTAGCATAACAAAGGCCTCTGGGGATGAGAACTCAGGAAACTATCCAGAAGGAATAAGTCCTTAAATGAATTAATTCAAGCAGTGTTCAGCTGAATTCCCATTATGCATATGAATTAGCCATTTATGTTTAATGCCCTAGGAGACTTGCCCTAGGAGACCTCTCTCATTGCATCAAGCAAAATTGATTCTTCTGTCACCTGCAATTACAGAGTCTATGTGGAAGACATACAGACCCCTCTTTGGGAGGAGTGTCACATTTTGTTTTTCAATGTCCTTATATTCGTGTCTATAATTAGGTTTTCATATTCAGTTTTGCTACTGCTGATAAATGCAATTTGTACCTTGTAAAAGAAATGATATTGGTGTTCTTATTTGTTTTTAGAAGCCAGCCAAGTATGCTCTTTAAAAAAAATTCTATTAGTTTGTGGGAGTGCCTTTTATATTAAAGAATATAGTCATCTATTGTGATGTGTATGCAAATAGTTTTTCCCCTTAGGTCACAGGTACTTGTCTTTGTTAGTGACAGTGTCTAGGCTGGGTTCTCTTTGAATCAAACACTGAGGTAAATATTTGGATGCAGAGTTTATTTGGAGAGTGCTAGGAGGTTAAAAGCCTGTGGGGAAAGAATGAAATAGAACCAATGTGGAATTAGTTATTCTTACTATTTTTGTCCTTAAATTTGTATTCTGGTGTTAAAAGTGATTTATACACTACCATTACCGTATTCTGTTTCTCTTTATATTTATCTTCAGCAGTGAGTTTTTTTATATGTAAGATTAGTGAAGTATTTTACTTAACTTTTTTACTTGTTTAATGTCCTCTTTTTCAAATTGAAGAACTCTTTGAAGTTCTTCTGATGGAGCAGAAGGCTGGCTGAGGACAAAGCAAAAGACTGACACCTAGCAATCTCCCCCTTACCCCCACCACTCCTGGGTGGGACAAATGTGACATTCTTTAAGAATGTCCCAACTATCTTAATGTTAATGGCTTGCTAAAAGGGAAAAACCACCTTTACCCCAGCAAGGCCTCTGGTAGCAGGGTCTCTGGTATCCAGTATCTTTGGAGGTCCTCTTTTAGCATATGAAAGTTTTATTGAAACCTCCCTTTTCCTTACTTCCCCTACCCCCATGGTACATAACCTGTCATCCCTCACAACCAGGGACAGCAGCTCTTCCTGCCCAGGGGTCCTGTCCCTGTGCTTTAATAAACAACCATTTTGCACCAAAGATGTCACAAGAATTCTTTCTTGGTCATCGGCTCCGGACCTCACCTCACAGAACCTCACGTATATTCTAGAACTTCATCACTTCTACTTAAACTTCAACTTGGAAAACTTGTACTTCAACTTGAAGTTTTTCAACTTGAACAACTTGAAACAATTCTTAGAAGGCAGATTTAGTGGTGACAAACTCTTAGTTCTTGTTTGGGAAAGTCTTTACCTCTCTTTCATTCTTAAAGGACAGATTTTCTGGACAAAGCATTCTAGCTTGAAGTTTTGTCTTGTCTCTCTCTCTCAGTACTTAGAATATAAGCTCCTACTCTCTCCTAGCCTGTATGGTGAGAAATCTGATAATCTTATAGCGGCTGTCTTGTATAATAATAATTCAAAAAAAATAATAATAATAATTCATTTTTTCTTGCTGTTTTAAAATTTTCTCTTTGTGTTTGACTTTTGATAATTTAATTATAATGTATCTCAATGTAAACTTCTTTGGGTTTAATGTACTTATGGTTCTTTGGGATTCATGAATCTGAATGTCAGTAACTTTTTTAGATTTGAGAAGTTCAGCCATTATATCTAAAAAAGCTTTCTGCCCCTTTCATCCTAGGACTTTTATAGTATCTATATTGCTTCTTTGTAGTGTTGTATAACTCTTTCAGGACTTTTCCACTATTTTCACACTTTTCTTTTTCTTTTTGTTCCTCTAATTGCATAATTTCAAATAACTTCTCTTTGAATTCCCTCACAGAGTCAGAAACAGTCTGCTGTTGAAGCTCTTTATTGAATTTTCAGCTCAGTAATTGTATTCTTCAGCCACAGGATTTCTCTTTGATTCTTTTCTTATGGTGTCTATTTCTTTAGTGAATTTCTTTTTGTTCTTGTATTATTTTACTGCTTTTGTTTAATTGTCTGTGTTCTTTTATAGCTAACTGAGTTTCTTTAAGATGATTATTTTTAATTCTCTTTCAAGCAGTTCATGGATCTTCATTTCTTTATGGTTAGCTACTGGTGCTTTACTGGTTTCCTATGCTGGTATCATGTTTGCTTGATTTTTCATGATTCATGTAGCCTTACATTGGTGTCTGTGTATTTTAAGAAGCTGTCACCTCCTCTGGTCTTTATAGACTAGTTTTGGTAGGTAAAGGTTTTCTGCCAGGTCCCTGGACAGTTAGGACCGCCTCTGGGATTTTGGTTGAGTGGGGCTAGAGCCAGGTTATAAGACTGCTTCTGAGTCCAGTCATGTTTATGGTTCATGGCCCTTTTACTAGGGTTGTGGACAGGCATAATTCCTTCTAGATCCTTAGCCAGCCAGGAGTGCCTGAGACCATGCATGAACAGGGTTGGAGCCACATCACTGAGCTTTCTCAGAGTCTGTGGTCAGTCTGTTTGGTGAAGCATGTGCAATTTTTATAACACAAAGATGTGTGTGTTTGTGTATATGGATGTATATGTGCACGCACGGACGTATGTGTGTATATATTTGTAGGTAAAAATTGCAGGTTTTGGCAGTTAAAGCTCTCCAAATCTGGGAAAATTGTTTAACTCTCTGAGTTTTAATTCCCTAATCCATAAAATAGGGTTAAATGATCTAATTGATATAAATAGCTTGTGACATTTAACAATTAGTAGAAGTTGGCTGCTCTTATTATTGTGGTTATTTTTTGATAATTATACTGTAAGGGCCTATTCAGCCAGAGCGGCCCCACCCCAGTTGAACTGCCATTTTGTTGTTTAACCCTTAAACTGTCCCTGCCCCCCTTCCCCAGGGGACTTACTTAAAAACAAGTCCCGGAAACCAGTCCCAGGTAACAAAGCCCAAATACAAGGGGGGGTCAGGCCAGGTGGAGACATCCAATCAGTAGGGGGGTGCATACCTTACCACCTTTTAGGCGCCAATTCTGACCAAGGTGATAGGCTGGTTCAAATATCTACTAGGGTAAATTGTAATTCAATTGGTCACTTATGTGTGACCTAATATGACTGTGCAGCTTTCTCTGTGTGTTACAATTTCATTGGCCACCTGTGTGTGGCTAGGCCCAACCACATGGCCTTTGCCCTTAAAAGCTAGTCTGTGAAGCAGAGAGAGGTTGCCCTCTCTGTAAGAGGCGCGGCCCAGAATGGTCGGTTTGATTCTTGATGCTTGGCGCGAAATAAAGCTTTGCTTGACTTTCGCTTTGTATCAGTCTCACTCCTTTAATCACGGACCCATTATTGGGCGACCCAACAATACTTATTTGAATAAACACATAATATAAATGTACATTTATAAAATGTAAATAATATAAATTATTTTATATCATTTTTAAAGCCCTGAATAATCTGTTTCCCATTTGCTCTACATATTTATATCCATGAAGATATTTGCTCAGTATAAACCTATACTCCAACCAAAAGGACTGACATAAAGTTCCAGGATTTTCCCCCTGAGTTCCTATAATACTTTTTATATTTTATTTTATTCATTTTATTTTATTTTATTCATTTTATTTTATTATTTTAATGTAATTTAATTATTTTATCTTGTTTATTTTATTTTATTCTATTTTATATTTTATTTTATTTTATTCCTACAATACTTTTTAAAATACAACAGCTAGGTTATACCTCTGTTTATTTCCTCTGGCCAAACCAGGTTATAACCCAGGTCAACATCTCATTCCAGTTAGTCCTTAGTTTAACTTGTGTATATTTATTACAAGGTTGAGCACTGCTTCACAATTATATTTTTAATTAACAAAACATTCTATGAGATGGGAAACTAATTTAAGGAAGCCTCTGTATCTTAATAACATTTGCATCACAACTGACATGGTATTCTCTGGACAGAAATGATAAATAGTGATGAAGAATAGTTTTGGGAGAGAAAATATACAGTGATAATAATTACATAATTAAACATGATGATAAACATTTTTGTTGCTCTGTACTGCCATAGGGATACTGATGACTCTTCACAGCCTGTACAATTCCCTTGTTCCCACCTCTGATTGTCCCCTATGTTCTCTACCAGTAATTCTTTTCTCAGTCTAAGCCCAAAGTCTAGTTTTGTTCTGAAAACATTTCTTCTACCTCCAGATGAATAAGATACTGAGTCATTCTTTCCCAGGAGAGTTGCCAGTGTCATAACAAAGGCAACAATTTTCCAGCTCTGGAAAATGCTCTCCCCCCACCATCTCATTACCTTAATCACAGAAATGGAGGTCATGCATTCCTCTACCTTGAAAATGGTTTTTCTCTTGCCACACAGATAGTTTACCCAGAAGCAGTTGGGAAACAATCCATACTCTGCTAAAGGTTTTGGAAATAAGCCAGATTATTTAGCCCCAGGCTAAAAAATTGTAATGAAGAGGGCGAAAATATGGGTAGGGAGGGGAAGAGAAATGGGTTCCTGTTTCTCTAAGCTTCTAATTTTTAAAATAAAATGTAAAATCTAATATTCATTCTCAAAGATTTCTGATTGAATTCACAGCCTCTATACTCCCTATATTTTCAAAACCTCTTGCCTTCTAACTGCTCAGAAAGTATGATCCTTAGATAAGCAGCATTGGCATTACCTAAGAGCTTGTTAGAAATTAAAAATATTGGGACTTCATCAACTGAAGAATGGATGAAGGAGATGTATTTTATATATAAATATATAAAGGTATACTATATATATGACCATTATATTGATAGATATAAATAGATGTAGATATAGATATAGATATATATGACTATTATTCAGCCATAAAAAAGAAGAAATCTTGCCTCTTGCAACAATATGGATGGAGATAGAGAGTATAATCCTAAGTGAAATCAGTCAGTCAGAGAAGGGCAAACTCCATATGATATCACTCATATGTGGAATGTAAGAAATGCAACAAATGAGCAAAGGGAGAAAGAGAGAGACAAATCAAGAAACAGACACTTAACTATAGAGAACAAACTGATGGCTACCAGAGGACAGGTGGAGCGGTGGTGAATGAAGCAGGTTATGGGGGTTAAGGAAGGCACTTGTGATGAGCACTGGGTGTTGCATTGAATTGTTTAATCACTATATTGTACACCTGAAACTAATATAACACTGTATGTTACCTAACTGGATTTAAATATGAACTTTAAACATATTAGGATCATCTAAGATTAGTGAATCAGAATCTATCTCTTTAACAGCATCCTCAAATGATTCATATTTACATCATATTTTGAGAAACACTGCTGTAATTCAAACTGTGGCAGAATTGCTAATAGGACACTCATTTACTTTCTTAGGTAAGCAAGGCCTCAGCACCCAGCACTCATTTACTTGAGTACAGGGTTGGTCTTACAGGTGGCTACTGATCCGAGTCCACCCTATCACACTGCGCGCTGTACCCCAGATCACCAGAAAGTCTCGCAGTGACGTGTAGCACCACAAGTGAGGAAGCTATGAAATTGGCAGTCCACTTCAGTGATGAACTGTTCTGCCATCAGAGTAAGACACTCTTTTTTTAATAACCTCCATGTATCACTTTTGAGTATTATGGCTGTCAAATGATGGCCAAATGATGTGAAGGCCTCATTTCATTAACTCTAAGAGGAAAGTAATAAAACTCCTACTTCACAAATGATTGTGTTAATGAAACAAGATAGTACACGCTTGGCATATATAAATAATAATAAATTATTATAATTTTTATCTGCCCTAGGTTGAGAAACTTGAGTTATGTGCTCCCATTTGCCACTAGCAAAATAGATACAAACAACTTAGTCTCATTAGTAGCTATGATATTCTATCACTGAGCACATTTATTCATCTAATAAGTAATGAGTTCCTTCTCAGTTCTAAAGACCACTGTACATGTATCATTGCAAATTGGAAAAGTCCCTGTCTATCCTTAATGAATCTACAGAGTAGTTTACAGACCTGGAAACATAGGGGGATTTCATTTATAAACAATCCTGTGCCAGAATTTGAAGAACAATTCAAAGTAACTGAAGAACTGCCCTTTATGGGGGGCTCTGATCATGTCGTGTCAAGGTTCTGGGAGGACCTGACTTCTCACTTCCTGGAGACATCTAACCTAGATGGAGAAGCCAACCTCCAACTGGCCACTTCTGAGGGGCAGGAGAGTAAGGAAGAAACTAGGGATGAAGAACTGAAAAGGAATGTGTGCAGGAGCATGTCAGGGATTGATGAGTGGGATGGGTTAAAAAAAGAGGTATTTTAGAGTAGCCGGGGAGACATAAGAGGTTCAAAAATTTTGTGCTTCTCTTTTCAGTGTTGCCATGCATTTTGGAAAACTTCTAGTGACTTTTCACAGTTAGGCATTATTTCTAACATTGTGACTCCCCTGAGCTTAGGCCCCAAGGTTTGTGAATTTATTCTGGTTGAAAGTACAAGGATGTGTTGATGGTATAATGATGGATATCTGCCAGTAAAGATAGACATCATGCCCATTTAACAGAATTTGCTTTAGAGTTAAACAGATAGAGATGTAACTCTTGTGGATTTTACCATTTCTATGGAGAGGTTTGTATTACTTCCTAAACCTTTGTTTATTCATCTTGGAAATGAAGATTAAGGCCTATATCACTGTGAGCTTTCAGTGAACAAAGTCATATTTTACAAATTTGAAAGAGGCTAAAAGAAATAAACTGTCTTAGGGAATGAAAATAGCAATCACCCAATCTCTAGCCTAGAGGAGCCGAGAGCTCTGGGCCCCATTCCTCAGTGCACCCTCAGAGAAAAGTGCCCAATCACTCCCATCTCCCTGGCCTTTGGCTGCGCTCTGAGCTCACCCAGCCTACACCCAGTTCAAGAAACCAATATCCACAGCACTTTCATGATAATTCATGGACTTGAATAGGACAGCAAAAAATCTGAGTTGCCTGATGCACATGTTCCCAGTGAAGGTCAAACAAGAGAGAGAAAGGCTGAAGGGGCAGAGGGAGAAGGAGAAGGAGAGCATCTAAAGAAGACTTCTCACTGATTGCAGAACCCAGTGTGGGACTCAATCTCTCGACCCTGAGATCCTGACTTGAGCTGAAACCCATACTCTGCTGCTCAACTGCCAGAGCCAACCAGGTAACCCCAGATTTGTCCTATTTTAAATCAAGTTCCATTTTCTAGCTAAGCGCTCTAGTTGATGAAAGGAAGTGTGAGCGCTCAGGTGACATGGTCTGACAGGAGCAGTACCTGGGGTGAGTCAAACAGAACTGAACCCATTTCCTGGGCATGGTAATAATAATAAAAAGAATATCTTCTTTAACCCAGTGAACTAACTGGGGCAGACTTGAAAGCAGTAAATATTCAGGAAACCTTAATCTGTCAGCCACCTCAGAAGCAAGGAAACAACTGGCCATTTATAATTGATGACACTGGGTGTGTTTTCATTGGATGCTTACTGGAGAAGTCCTAGAACCATAGGACTTATGGCTCTCGAGTTACTGATACTTGAGACACAGATAAATAGGAAACAACAAAATACTTTATTGAAGTAAGAGGTAGATGCTGAGGAAGGTGTGGTATAGGGTAACGTCCCTCAATGGATTCCAAGAACCTAGAGCTTCTGTTATTTCTCTTCAAAATTAAAATTTTTGCTTTTATTTATAAGGTTAGCTAAAAAATCAATATAGTATATGTCAGTGGTACATGACCTAGATTATCCTCTCAATACTAAACGGCCTGGGATTTTAGGAGCCCTGTTTGCCCTGATCACCCAGTAGCCCTATTTGGTGACTTCTGTCTACAGAGCAAAAATCTGTGGGACACAGCAAAGGCAGTCCTGAGAGGAAAATATATAGTGATACAAGCCTTTCTCAAGAAACAAGAAAGGTCTCAAATACACAACCTAACTCTACACCTAAAGGAGCTGGAGAAAGAACAACAAAGAAAGCCTAAACCCAGCAGGAGAAGAGAAATAATAAAGATCAGAGCAGAAATCAATGAAATAGAAACCAAAAAAACAATAGAACAAATCAATGAAACTAGGAGCTGGTTCTTTGAAAGAATTAATAAGATTGATAAACCCCTGGCCAGACTTAACAAAAAGAAAAGAGAAAGGACCCAAATAAATTAAGTCATGAATGAAAGAGGAGAGATCACAACCAACACCAAAGAAATACAAACAATTATAAGAACATACTATGAGCAACTCTATGCCAACAAATTTGACAATCTGGAAGAAATGGATGCATTCCTAGAGACATATAAACTACCACAACTGAACCAGGAAGAAATAGAAAACCTGAACAGACCCATAACCAGTAAGGAGATTGAAACAGTCATCAAAAATCTCCAAACAAACAAAAGCCCTGGGCCAGACTGCTTCCCAGGGGAATTCTACCAAACATTTAAAGAAGACTTAATTCCTATTTTCCTGAAACTGTTCCAAAAAATAGAAATGGAAGGAAAACTTCCAAACTCATTTTATGAGGCCAGCATCACCTTGATCCCAAAATCAGACAAGGATCCCATCAAAAAAGAGAACTACAGACCAATATCCTTGATGAACACAGATGCAAAAATTCTCACCAAAATACTAGCCAATAGGATTCAACAGTACATTAAAAGAATTATTCACCACGACCAAGTGGGAGTTATTCCAGGGCTGCAAGGTTGGTTCAACATCCGCAAATCAATCAATGTGATACAACACATTAATAAAAGAAAGAACAAGAACCATATGATACTCTCCATAGATGCTGAAAAAGCATTTGACAAAGTACAGCACCCCATCCTGATCAAAACTCTTCAAGGTGTAGGGATAGAGGGCACATACCTCAATATTATCAAAGCCATCTATAAAAAACCCACCGCACATATCGTTCTCAATGGAGAAAAACTGAAAGCTTTTCTGCTAAGGTCAGGAACACGGCACGGATGTCCATTATCACCACTGCTATTCAACATAGTACTAGAACTCCTAACCTCAGCAATCAGACAACAGAGAGAAATTAAAGGAAGTTGTGGGAAATTGGAAGGGGAGGTGAACCATGAGAGACTATGGACTCTGAAAAACAATCTGAGAGGTTTGAAGCAGCGGGGGGTGGGAGGTTGGGGGAACCAGGTGGTGGGTATTGGAGAGGGCATGGATTGCATGGAGCACTGGGTGTGGTGCAAAACCAAGGAATACTGTTATGCTGAAAAAAAAAATATAAAAAAGAAGAAAAGGCACCCAAATTGGCAAAGAAGAAGTCAAACTATCACTCTTTGCAGATGATATGATACTATATGTGAAAAACCCAAAAAGCTCCACTCCAAAACTGCTAAAACTTGTACAGGAATTTAGTAAAGTGTCAGGATATAAAATCAATGCACAGAAATCAGTTGCATTTCTCTACACCAACAACAAGACAGAAGAAAGAGAAATTAAGGAGTCAATCCCATTTACAATTGCACCCAAAACTATAAGATACCTAGGAATAAACCTAACCAAAGAGGCTAAGAATCTATACTCAGAAAACTATAAAGTACTCATGAAAGAAATTGAGGAAGACACAAAGAAATGGAAAAATGTTCCATGCTCCTACATTGGAAGAACAAATATTGTGAAAATGTCTATGCTACCTTGAGCAATCTACACATTTAATGCAATCCCTATCAAAATCCCACCCATTTTTTTTTCAAAGAAATGGAACAAATAATCCTAAAATTTATATGGAACCAGAAAAGACTTTGAATAGCCAAAGGAATATTGAAAAAGAAAGCCAAAGTTGGTGGCATCACAATTCCGGACTTCAAGCTCTATTACAAAGCTGTCATCATCAAGACAGCATGGTACTGGCACAAAAACAGACACATAGATCAATGGAACAGAATAGAGAGCCCAGAAATAGACCCTCAACTCTATGGTCAACTCATCTTCCACAACACAGGAAAGAATGTCCATTGGAAAAAAGACAGCCTCTTCAACAAATGGTGTTGTGAAAATTGGACAGCCACATGCAGAAAAATGAAATTGGACCATTTCCTTTCACCACACATGAAAATAGACTCAAAATGGATGAAGGACCTCAATGTGAGAAAGGAATCCATCAAAATCCTTGAGGAGAACACAGGCAGCAACCTCTTTGACCTCAGCCGCAGCAACATCTTCCTAGAAACATCACCAAAGGCAAGGGAAGCAAGGGCAAAAATGATCTATTGGGATTTCATCAAGATCAAAAGCTTTTGCACAGCAAAGGAAACAGTTAACAAAACCAAAAGACAACTGACAGAATGGGAGAAGATATTTGCAAATGACATATCAGATAAAGGGCTAGTGTCCAAAATCTATAAAGAACTTAGCAAACTCAACACCCAAAGAACAAATAATCCAATCAAGAAATGGGCAGAAGACATGAACAGACATTTCTGCAAAGAAGACATCCAGATGGCCAACAGACACATGAAAAAGTGCTCCATATCACTTGGCATCAGGGAAATACAAATCAAAACCACAATGAGATCTCACCTCACACCAGTCAGAATGGCTAAAATTAACAAGTCAGGAAATGACAGATGCTGGCGAGGATGTGGAGAAAGGGGAACCCTCCTACACTGTTGGTGGGAATGCAAGCTGGTGCAATCACTCTGGAAAACAGCATGGAGGTTCCTCAAAATGTTGAAAATAGAACTACCCTATGACCCAGCAATTGCACTGCTGGGTATTTACCCTAAAGATACAAATGTAGTGATCCGAAGGGGCACGTGCACCCAAATGTTTATAGCAGCAATGTCTACAATAGCCAAACTATGGAAAGAACCTAGATGTCCATCAACAGATGAATGGATAAAGAAGAGGTGGTATATATACACAATGGAATACTAGGCAGCCATCAAAAGAAATGAAATCTTGCCATTTGCGATGACGTGGTTGGAACTAGAGGGTATCATGCTTAGCGAAATAAGTCAATCAGAGAAAGACAACTATCATATGATCTCCCTGATATGAGGAAGTGGAGATGCACCGTGGGAGGCTTGGAGGGTAGGAGAAGAATAAATGAAACAAGATGGGATCAGGATGGAGACAAACCATAAGTGACTCTTAATCTCACAAAACAAACTGAGGGTTGCTGAGGGGAGGCGGGTCGGGAGAGGAGGGTGGGGTTATGGACATTGGGGAAGGTATGTGCTATGGTGAGTGTTGTGAATTGTGTAAACCTGGCAATTCGCAGACCTGTACCCTTGGGGATAAAAATACATTATATGTTTATAAAAAAATAAAAAATTAAAGAAAAAAGAAATAAACTGTCTTAGGGTGCCTGCGTGGCTCAGTGGGTTAAAGCCTCTGCCTTCGGCTCAGGTCATGATCCCAGTGTCCTGGGATTGAGTCCCGCATTGGGCTCTCCGCTCAGCTGGGAGCCTGCTTCCTCCTCTCTCTCTGCCTGATTCTCTGCCTGCTTGTGATCTCCGTCTGTCAAATAAATAAATAAAATCTAAAAAAAAAAAAAAAAGAAAAATAAAGAAATAAACTGTCTTTGTATTATACCTGCCTAACAATAAACACCTCTGGTCTATAGGTAATCTTAACTCCACCTTGCCTTTTCCAGATCTAGAATATTCTCTTCTCCAAGTTTACCACAAATACTTCCAATCTTATTAATTCTTCTGTTGGATTATTCATTATTTATTTACCTGTATCTTTAGGATATAACTTCCTTCTCTTAGAATGTTAACTAGTTTATAGCATTTTCACATTAAAAAAAATACAGCATAATTATATATATGCTCATTTGACCACAGATCTCCAGGGTCCAGCCTTGGCATGTCCAGGTGTCCCTGAAGGAAAGGTGGCATCGGCGAGAGAAATGAGAGAGCCACACAGCGAGTTTTGGTCAGCAGTCAGGCATCTCCGGTTTATCACCATTCAATGAGCTTCTTATATAAGCAGTTTATTTGTGATAGAGGGCTACATTCGTGCAAAGGACATCAAAAGACTCAAGCACTCATCAGACAATTTCTCTTTGTTCATCACATGTTATTCTAGTTAAGCTATAATGGTACAGACTGGCACCAGGGATGGGGGACAGGGTCTTGCTTCTTGAGTAATCAAGTCCCTCAGAAAGCCATGGGAGGTAGCACAGAAACGTGCTTTTTGGTAACTTATTCTGGGGTCCACAGGAAAAAAGGATATAGGTTAATGGAAAATGAGAAGCTTTAGGGATAAACTAGATAGTAAGGAATTGCAGGAAAACAGGATACAGGTTAATAGAAAACAGGAAGGTATCTGGAGAAACTAAGTATATAGGAGAGAAGTAGGAACGAGAAGGAATTACCTTTGCAGGAGGCAGGGTGTATATCAATGGCTCAGCTGTGAAAGCCTTGGACAAACATCAACCTAGGGAGGAAACCGTCTACTGCGGTACACATCTAAAGTTCTCCATTGTCCTAGGTACAGAATAATTTACCTCCTTGGAGTTGCTCTGGTCCTTAAGACTGAGAGATGTTTGTGGCAGATGAGCAAGGGGCTCTTAATCTGAGAGAGATACGGGGATCAGAGAAAAAGGCAAGAGGCTATCAGACCATGCTTATCTGTGGGTCTATCCAGCCTGCATCAGTTCAAACCTTAACCTAGTGGGGCAATGCCCTTGACCAGGCCTCATGGCTCCCAACAACAGATATTACCATTTATATGGATAATGGTAATAGTCCCATATCATTCAGGATGAAATGTGTGTACCATCTGGTACCTTATTGATCTACAATTTCTCTTACTTATTTAAATAAATAATACTTATTTTTATGGAAGTATAATTAGCATATGGTAAAGGCAAAGATAACTGAGTATAGTTTAGTGAGTTTTGAAGTGAATCCTCCTGCATTATCCAGGTTCTAGTCAAGAAATAGAAGGTGTTATCATTTGAGAAAATTCCTTTGTGTGTGTGTTTTACCATCAATCCTTTCTCCCCTCCACAAAGGAAATCCCTGTTCAGTTTTCTCTCCATAAATTAGTTTGCCTTTTCTAGAACTTCCCATAAATGTTACTATATAATCACACATCTTTAGCTCAAAGTTATGTTTTTGATGTTGCCTGTTTTGTTGCATGTGTCAGTAATTGGTTCCCTGTTGTTGCTGCGTAGCAGTCTGCTATCCTCTACCTAGCTATCATCTATCGATTGATCAATTATCTGTCATCTATATATAATTTTGTTTGCGATTATTGGTGGAGCATTTCAGTGTTGAATTTGAAACTAACTTTATTCCTTAACTACTTGGCTATATGACATCTCTTATTTTCAAGTCCTATCTTTTAATCTGTAAAATTATTATAATATTCCCAAAAGGCATAAAATACAGACTTGTTTAATCAGGCCTCAATAAATGCATATATTTTACATGTTCTTTTTTTTTTTCTCTAAGATTTTATTTATTTATTTGACAGAAATCACAATTAGGAGAGAGGCAGGCAGAGAGAGAGGAAGGGAAGCAGGCACCCTGCTGAGCAGAAAGCCTGTTGTGGGGCTTGATTCCAGGACCCTGAGATCATGACCTGAGCCGAAGGCTGAGGCTTAATCCACTGAGCTTCCCAGGCGCCCCTGTTTTACATGTTCTTTTGTGATCCTCAGTTCCCATCTTTAACACCTGTTATTTGATTTTTGTTTTTATTATAGGTCCAGTCCTAGAACTCTGGCTTCTGTCAGATCTTGTTAACAGGCTAACATTTAATGAAATTGTGAGCCTGGTCTTATGTCAAGATCGTGGTTGGCACAGTCCTCACACCCTCTGTCTTTCACCACTTCTCAATGCCAAATAGTGCCAAGGCAGTGAAATCTCAATCATATATGGTGTCTTTCCCAGCCATGAAGAAGAGAGGGATGGGGAGACAGAGCAGAGGGCTACACATCTCCAGTGGAAGTTTCACTATCCTAGAAGGGCATGTTTTCAGAGTATAGGAGAAGGCAAACCATTTTGACTTATTGAGCCCGTGTTTGCAGGGACAGTGACTGGATGGTATCATGTTTAGGGAGTAGGTACCCCTGGAAGAAGAAGAGAGAAATTTGATTAAATGAGCACAGCACAGATGGGGGAATCTGTGGGGATTCTAGAGTTTTAGAGGTGAGTCAGAAGTAATGAATACCCCTACTTGCTCCACCCATTCACTATCCTATTTCCACTCTCTTCAGAGTCATCTTATCCTCTTTCATTTATCGGAAGGAACTGGCAGGAATAGGAGGGAGAGAGGCATATAGCAGGTGTCCCTGTGGTTGCCAAAGGATTAGCTCCTGATAGCAAGAAATGGAACCACATCCATTCACTCTGTGTCTTCTTCATTGGAGGCAATTTCAGGTCTGGGTACTCAGAAAGCGCTCAAGTGTTTGAAGTATTCTCTCTCAGTGTCTCCAGGTCTTTGTTTTTCCTTCAATTTTTGTGTCAGGGTCAAGGTAATAATAATTGTAAAACAGCTCTTATCAATTGTGAATACTGTTACCAAGCACAGTGATCAGTTTCTAACTCCCTTACACATCAAACTATGTGAATATTATTAGTTTCCTTAATTTGCAGATAAAGAGACAGAGACTTTACAGTATTGAATAACTTGCTTAAGGTAGATCAGCTTTTAGGTAGCAGAGTTAATATTCATACTCATATTTGTATGATTTCAAAGGTTATGAGCTGAAATCTTTTGCTGTATATATAAATCTGTGTCTCTCTCAATTTATTGTCAGTTGACTTATTTTCTCAAACATATTTTTAGCAACTTTCTCATTCTGTGTGTCCCTATAACTCTTCTATATGGGTCTCAGAGATTTTTCATATTCTGATCTAAATTTTCACGATCGTGGATGCTACCCTCTTCCTCACTTTCATAACCCTCTCTCTCTTTCGCTTCTGGAGGAAGATAATATATGCCTGTGACTAGTAAAGAAATTATTCTATATGTAAAGCGGTAATAAATTGTCCCTATGTCTCCTATTTCTTGAGTTTTTCCCCCCTCCATTTTTAAATAATAATTTCCCCTATAACCTGAGATATACCACTATTTCCTCTGATGGCGCTGAGCCAGGTATCCTGAGGGCCATCAGGTGTGAAGTGAATGGGAAAATAAATCCCATGGCTGTTGTCATCACCCTGCCAGGCTGACCACTCAGCCTTCGGCTCGGGAAAGACAATGACAACACTAATCAGTGCAAAGAAATGGCAACTTGAAGCATGAGTCAGTGGATGTAGCCGACATGGCTATAAAGGCTCCATGATCAATGTTAGGTTCATGAGTTCAGGCAGGGGGAGAAACGAGCATTTGCCATGTAGCCTGCCATAAAAAGGTTACTGTTTTCCTGCCTTGGTGCCTGGCCTTCCCAGAGCCCCCTGCTGCAGACCTTAAAGGACTGGACTTTATTAAGGTTGGTGTGCCAATTAGACCATGTTGTCACACTATGACTACTGTGGGCTATTCTTCCGCTATGTGATACATCCATAGATATAGAGTTACCTCATGGCACAGAAATAAATATATTAGTATTACATATTAAATTATTTTTCATTTTCTTCAGGCTCAAAGGTTTTTTTCTTCTGATTTTAGAAGTAATGAAACCATTTCTGGGCCCCTGAAAGTACTGTGCTAATGGTGCCTAGTGAATAATTCACTGCAGTGCTTCCCTCCCCCACTCTTAGCCTTCTGGAAGGGTATAGGATGAATACTCAGGGTTGGCATCTCTGAGTCTGGCAGGTGGTAAGCAATCAGGGGAAATCATTTAAATGGACTAATAAATATGTCCTTCCTGTGGATGGAGAAACCTCTCAAACTGCCTACTCCACACTTTCAAATTCCTCAAGAAATTGTGAATTTGTTCCAGACTTTTTTAGGCATCCAAAATAACTGAAACTGGTGTTAACTGTGTACTTTGTAAATACTCAGGGACTGGGTAAAATTTCCTGCTCATACTTAGCCCAGAAAAATATGCTATATCATATTCCTCTGAGTGCCCAGCCAAGTCCACAATAAAATAAAGGCATAAACATGTAATTTATTCAAACTGTAAAAATGAATCATGAGTTTCTATCAAGTACTATCATAAGAACTGTGGTGTAGGCCTAGTTACGATAGGATAAATACTGCCCTTAAAGTACTAGAGTTCAAACATAGATACAGATACAGCCCAACTATAATATAAGGTGCACTTCCCCCCCCCCCCGGAGCTGAAATTCAGTATCAGATGGTAAGAAATTTAATGGAGACAGGGAGTAGCTAATAAGTAAATAAATAATAAATTAAAAATTATTTTAATGGAATAGAATGAATAAATGCAAATGAACTGGGTATGCAGAAATGACCAAATTTTATGTCCAAGAGTCCAAGACCAAGAAAGAGTCACCACTCTTTACCCAGACGGAAAAGATACAGTGCCTGCCACCATTTCATCTGAATGAGACAGACCTACAGAATGAGCAGATGCTGACTGTGCCACACAAGCCCCACTGTGGAGTAACTGAGTAACTGCTTTCTCAGGAAGTTCTAAAGGGAAGATGCACACTCTGACCTACAGGTGTTTGTTGTTAAGGCCGGTAGTGATAGGTGACTCCTGGAGGCACTTCTACTGACTTCTGCTTAGTTAAATCTTTTTTTTTTTTTTTTTTTTTAATGTGTTGTGGTGGTGGTGGTGGTGGTGGTGGGGTGTCTATAGGAGACACCCTGGCTAGGCTTCTCTCTCTATGGGGGGATCCAAAGCATATTAGAGACATCTGAAGCCAAGCAATACTAATCTATATAGAAAGCTGCACATTTTTCAACTGAGTCCACATTGTTTATTTTTTTCATAATTATTTTGTAGGGCTATGGTTTCCAGATTTTAGCTTACATAAGAAGGTGGGGAATGTGATAAAATTCTCAGAAATCTAACAAATGTCTAAATTCTTAGGAATCTATATTTTGCAGGTTTAATTCTTTGGGAATTTAATTTACAGATGAGCAAAATGAGGCCCCCAAATATTAAGTGATTTGCCCCAAAGTAGACTTGCTCTTTTTTACACGTAGGATAATTCCCATACCTCTGAGCTATTCCACCTAAAGATTTCTTCTTTCAGGATTATCAATTACCCAAGAAATATAAACCAATCCATGGTGAAAGATATTAAGCAAGGTGCATTTTCCATCTGGAGCAATGCGACCCCCTTGATTTTCCAACAAGTGAAAAATCAAGATGCAGACATCAAGATTTCTTTCTGGAACTTAGGTAAGAAACTGACATGGGAGGGAGGGCATGTTGTCCCATGTAAAGGACAAATGGTTTCAATCCATAAATAAAAACCCAGTCCACCAGTCCAGCTTTTGAAAAAAAAATCAGACAAAGCTAATGGAAATTGATAAATCTATAACACAGAGAAGACATCTTCAGTCTAATGTAGCAGGAGATTAGGGGAGGAGATGCACTGTGTAGTGAACAGAGTGAAGGATGGTAACTATACATTTGCCTGTCAAAAGGCAGTTGTGTAGCCCTTAAATCTGTTGAAATGCTACTCAAAGTTAATCCAACCTATTTATAAAACACTGTGGTGTTGGGGCGCCTGGGTGGCTTAGTGGGTCAAAGCCTCTGCCTTCGGCTCAGGTCATGATCCCAGGGTCCTGAGATTGAGCCCCATGTCTCTGCTCAGTGGGGAGCCTGCTTCCTCCCCTCTCTCTCTGCCTGCCTCTCTGCTTGTGATCTCTGTCTGTCAAATAAATAAAATCTTTAAAAACAAAACAAAACAAAAAAACACTGCAGTGTCTAAGTTTCCTTCTCCATTTTTCTTCCGTTTTGGGAAGTTTTTGTGTCTAACGTATAACCTTCACTCAATCTCTGCCATCTTTTCTTCTTTTACCACAGAAGATAAGACATGGCTAGATTTTTGGTGCCACCCCATTCCTCTGCACAGATGGTGCCTTAACCCTCTCACACCTCTAGTGTTATCCAGTTGCATGGTACTCCAAGTCACTGAGGCTTACTAGGCTCATTCCTGCCCTTTCCCTGACCCCCATTGTGACAATAACTTCTGTCATTGTCCACAGCCCATGGAGATTGTTGGCCCTTTGATGGACCAGATGGTGTCTTAGGTCATGCTTTTTTACCAAATTCTGGAGCTCCAGGAGTTATCCACTTTGACAGAGGAGAATATTGGTCAACTTCAGACAGAAGTAAAGACCTACCTGGTAGGAATGCTAGAATTCTCTGGGAGCACAAGTGTTGGTAATGATGGTCTTCACCTGGGCTTAGAATGCAGTGAGGAGCATAAAGTGAAGGACTCAGTGTCAGGATGAGGTGGGAAGGTTTGGTTGAGGAACTGGGTCTCCTATTTGAGTGGGGGCAGTTGGGATCATTTCTGAACAAAGACGCTCCTATCATGAACATGTTGTCACATTTTCTTTTCTCTGTTATGACTTTGTTTCCATTTATTGTTGTCTCAATTTTCTCCATGCTTCTCGTTCACTTCCAGTTTATCTGTCCATCTATTCTGCCATTCTGTTTCCCACTAGATTCCTTCCCTCTCTGCTTGCTTTTATCTTGCTCTCTAATATTTGTTATTTCTTCCTTTTTTGTTCTTTTTTCCTCCCTTCTTTTTCTGCCTTCTTTATGCATAGTTAATATGTATACATTTGTCTGTACCTTTTCAGGATTTAGTTTGTTCCTTGTTGCTATTCATGAGCTTGGCCATTCTCAGGGCCTGCTCCTCTCCAAGAGTCTGAACTCCATAATGTACCCCAGATATGTGAATTGGGACCCTACAACCTTCCATCTTGATGGTGATGCTATCAAAATAATCCAGCAACCCTATGGTCTGTGCCTGCTGGAAGGGAGGATATCTAGACAGGAAATTCCACTTGGAGTTTACTGTTTTCTTCTGTCCTCATAAGGAGAAAGATGGTCATCTGAAATACCCCCATGTTAACACAGAAGAATCATTCAACCTGGGTTTTAGTGGCTTCACTGGAAGATCAAAGAATTCAAGGCCTTAACACAGCATTGGGGACTGCTTGAACTAACCCCTAAAGAATGGATTCTATTTAAGGCAGCTGAGTCAAACTCAAAATACTTCTGGGTCCCAATAAAGATGGTTTTCAAGAGTAAAAATTTGTTCTTACAATTTGGTATATCTCAGCATTTCATATATTCTGTCACTGTGATCAAGGCAAGAGAGAAGAGTATTTTAGAACAGAAAACTCTAACAGATATGGCCGTAGAAGTCTCAAATTAGCTGAAAGGGTAAGAAAAAAATAAGAATAGGAATAAGTCTTTCATATGTAATTACATGGGTAGCATTTGAGGAATGTTGTTTATACTGTATTGAAGATTACAGCTATAGAGACCAAGTGTTAGGATGGTGGCCTATCCACTTATTAGCTCTGAAAGTTTCAGTAAATATATTTAACCTCCTTATAACTCAGTTTTTAAAATTTCTTCAAATTTCTTTAATTTCTCTAAATTTATTTAAATAAACTTTAAATTTCTTGTCCTAAGAATGAAACTGATATGACAGAGACTAAAGGAGAAAGAAAACAGATTAATTACATGCACATGGAGATGCAATGATAAAGTTGAGACCCAAAGAAATGACCAAAGTAGGTAGCTTTCATGCTTTCTAGACAAAGTACCTACACTTTACATTCCAAATTCTCTTAATATTTACTTTTGAGAACCGAACTTCAGACAATTAACTTTTTGAAAGATCACTGAAACTATCTGTGGTATGACTGGCAAGTGTAAAAGAGACAATGCATATAAAACCAACATCAGTAATGAAAAAAGGCAATATTTTGACACTCCTGAAGACATTGAAAAATCATAAAGATGTGTAATTTCTAGTTAATAAATATCAAAATACATACCTAAAATATACATTCTTAAACATAGCTTATAAAAACAGGCAAAGGGAGAACTAGAAAATCCAAGTAGCCCTACAAATGCTTAAAAATATAATCTATAATTATATTTCTTCACAAGTATTTTCAAAACTGAAAAGAAGAAAATCTGAACTGTCTTTTAACTATTATCTATCAAAACTATACATAAAAACTACCCCTGGATAGCCATTTAATAAAGACATCATACCAACCATATGCAAAATATTCCAGTAGGAAAAAATTTTTTCTTAGGTTATTTTCATGAAAACATGAAAGATTATTTTTAGTAAAACATGACAAAAACATTATAAATAAGGAAAATTTCAGGGTACTCTCACTGACAAACATAGATGTGAAGACCCTGAACAAAATATTAACAAATTAAACCTGCTAATAAATAAGGGAAGGTCAGGTAACATGTCCAAGTTGGGTTTGTTCCAGAAATGTAAAGGTGATATTTGAAAATCAATCAATATAATTAATCACGTTAATAGGATAATGAAGGAAAATCATATGAATCATAAAAATCACAAATCTCAATGGACACAAAATAATTTTATGAAATTCAACCTCTATTCTGGGTAAAATATTTGATCAAATAAACAAGAGAAAGTAACATGTTCTCTGATAAAAGTGTTACAAAAAAAAATCCTAGCAAACATACATTAATAAGGAAATGGTGAGCACGTTAACTGTGAGAGCAACAAAGGGAAAATAACATAACTTTCATCACTTCTGCTCAACACTGCACCAGGGGTCTTAACCAGTGCACAGAATCAATTGTAGTGTAAACCCTGACAGTTGTTGGTTTCTCTTTTTTGTGATACAAGTACCTGACTTAAGCTTTGATTAAGCCTCCACTTTAAAGAGGCATTCATTTCAAAGATGACTATTTCAGGTAAACACTTTGCCAGCCACACAACTAGATAGAGAACAAGGTCACCTAAACCAATGCCCTTCCTCCCCACTCCCTCTGAGGCTCCTTAGTTGACTGACCATTTGGGCCATGTGCTTTTTGTCTTCTCTCTCTTTAAATTCCAGCTCTTAAATTTTAAATTCACCAATAAATTATCATATGATTTCACTCATATGTGGAATTGAAGAAACAAAGCAGATGAACATAGGGGAAGGGAGGGAAAAAATAAGATGAAATCAGAGAGTGAGACAAACTATAAGAGATGCTTAACTCTATGAAATAAACTGAGGGTTGCTGGAGGGGAGGTGGGTGGGAGATGGGGTAACTGGGTGATGGGCATTAAGGAAGGCACTCAATATAATGAGCACCAGGTGCTCATTATATACAACTGATGAATCACTAAATTCTACCTCTGAAAATAATACTACACAATATGTTAATTAATTGAATTTAAATTTTAAGAAGTCACCAATAAAGAGTGAGCCCAAGAAACTCTAGTCCAATAGGAGAAGAACCCCAGCCCCTGTGCAGAAGTGGGCTCTTTCCCCTCCCCCAACCTCCACCCCACACCTTGCTATGTTGCCCCAGGTGTGCCATGTAATTTCCTGGTCCTGTAAGTAATAAACCTTTTATTTTTTCCCTCAAAGATAGCTAATAGTTCTTGCCAAAGGCATCTTGCAGTCATTATATATATATGTCTATACATATATGTATAGACATATATACATATACATATATACATATATACATATATACAAACACACACACACATATATATGTCAGAACCAAAGATTTAGAAAAAGATAATTTATAAGTGCCATTCATGTTAGCATAAATTAGTATCAAATAGCTAGGAATAAATATAATGTAAGATATATAATAGTTCTTATTTTAGAAGCATAAAACAATACTGAGAAAAAATAAAGACCTTAATTAATTGAGGTCTGTGTTCTGGAAGAACAGGTAGATTGGAAGACCTGGTAACCTAAAACTTTCAATTCTCCCAAAACAGAGCTATGGATTTGATATATTCACAATGAAAGTCCCAATATAGATCTTAGTGGATGGAAATTGATAAGCTGTCTATAAAATTCATAAGGAAGTGCAAAGAGGTGGATTGTCAGGTATAAGCTAAAAAAACAATGTATTAAGAAGTCATGTTCTGTACTAAGCATAGTGGAAGTTAGTGATGAACTAGATAATTATTTTGCCTTTACAGAAGTTAGTATGGAGACTTGAATCCTGTTATTGCTTAATAAATGATTATTAAATACATAACCCTATGAACATCCTGTTCAGTGAGAAGTTGTAAGTACCTTGTAACAGAAGGGCCCTCTGCACTTAATTACCACAGTTCTATATGGATGTCCCTAATGATGCTGAAGTTTCAATATCCCTCTGGGATGGAGTAGTTATTCTTTGATTATCAAATGCTCACTCAAGGAGAGAAAACTGTTACATTTGAAAGTAAGGACGGGGAGTGGTGGAGAGAGAAGGAGGGAGCCATTTATACAATTTCCAGTATCATAATTATATGCTCTTGCAACAGCTGTGCTGAAAGGTTGTTTATATTAATTTCATCTCTGAGGACCCATTGGACTCTGACACCAACCCTACTTTTCTATCCTGGGAGAAACCAGGAGTATTTATAGAGAAGTAAAAGTATTCAAGCCTCACTATTCATGGAATCAAAGGTTTTCAGGACCTGAGGTTCATGGATAATCACAACAGTAGCATCTGTAACCAGTATACAAGTGACTTTCAGATAGAGAAGGGAGTTCTTCTCAGGTGAGGGCTAAACTGAAACAGAACTAAAAGCAGAGAAATGAGAAGACAGGGGCAATAAAAGGACTGGAAAAAGATAGTTACACTTGTTTTTTTCCTAAATTTGTGAAAGGACACAGATTTAGGTGAAATAAAATACAAGAAAATGGCAGCAGGGGGCAGATTAAGAAGGATAAAGATGTTTAGAAAGTAAACTAAGTGGCAGAGAGAGAGAGAAAGCCCCAGAGACAGAAACAGAAAGAGAATATGATTTTACCTCCAATGGAGGAAAGTTTAGGCAGAGAAAGACACAAGGAAACTGGATCCTTTGGGAAAATGGCTCCTGGTTATGTGATTAAGCATTCACACTGATGTGATTATCTTATAAATTCAGGTAAGTGTAATTTTTAAATTACAAATAAACAGGTAGATTTTGGCACAATATGTGTTATTATACAAAGGCCAAAGAGAGTAAAATCATTCAGACAATGCACAATTTATGCAGGAGGGGAAAGTGAGTGTCATTTTCTTTAGAACAAGTTTAGAAACAATATGAAATGTATGACCTATCATAATGTCTTTTTCCAACAATTTTAATATAGGCTAGTCAGTGGGGAGAAGGGATTTTTTGAGAACCACAGCAAGACCCCAGAGAGGCTGTGTAAAATGGTGTCCTCACCCTCAGCGGCTCTCCTTTAATTGGAATAGGTGAGTGTGCAATGTGAGTCTTTTCATGCTCTGCCCTTGAAATGCCTTGAAATCAGTCTCAGCCTCTTTCGACTATTTCTTTATCACTTTACCATGACTAAGTTGTGTTAAAATAAGTCAAGAACCACAATGAATCATTGTGAATGACATAGACATAGAGTCATAAAAAAATGAACCGAGAAAGGACAATCATAAAGGGACTGAGAAAGAGTGAAAGACATGACAGCTACTTGGTGAGAGAGAAAGACAAGAAAGAGCACAAATGTCTGAGCTTTAAATCCATGCACAGGTCTGCAACTAAAGGTTTCTAAACCTTGCAATCTGAATTTAGAGGGCTCAGATCAGGGAGAAAACCATTTCTTAACACCAGTGATCCACTTTATTTTCTGCAACTTCTCTGAGAATTAAAGAAAATGTGACTTATATCAAAGTTGAAAGAGAAAGCATAGAATGATTTCCTGGCATGGAGTAAACTACTTACCGTTTGTGGCCACAATACAATCTCTTTGTGTGGGTGTGTCGGTGTGGGTGTGTGTGTGTGCACACACATGCCCATGTGTGCTGTATACTTCAATGTTAATGTCTAGAGTGTTTTCACGAACTGAGCTTTAGAACAGAAATTAG